AGCGAGACTCCGTCTCAAAAAAAAAAAAAAAAAGAAAAGAAATCTTTTCAAGGTACAGATCCAATCACCCACCCCATCCTGCTCCGTTACATGCTGAATAACGACCCTCCCAGGAGACACTGCGCTATGCCCCAGTGAGTGCACCAGGTGCATTTTACTTTGTAAGTTTTTACGCCATCTCACTGCGGTCAATTTTTTTGTCTTTTGGAGTGTTTTTTCACGAACTTTTCACTATTTTTTTTTCACTATTTTTCTGTCCTCGCCAAGAGAATCCAGGGAGATGCCTTTCAGCCCCAAAGCTGCCACCTGCTCCCTTGAGAGGCTACACTCCATACTTAAGGTGGTCCTATGGGAGAAAATGACCAAAGAGCTAATAGTCACTAGACACTCTAGCAGACATAGCCATGGTGGGTATCTTGGTTTATCCCCAGAAAGTACTAAAACAGCCTAAGTGGAGTGGCACGATCTCGGCTCACTGCAACCTCCACCTCACGGGTTCAAGCGATTCTCCTACCCTACCCTCTTGAGTAGCTGGGACTACAGGCACATGCCACCACTCCCAGTTAAGTATTTGTATTTTCACTAGAGACGAGATTACACTGTGTTATCCAAGGTGGTCTCCATCTTCTAACCTCGTGATCTGCCCACCTCAGCCTCCCAAAGTGCTGGGATTACAGGCGTGAGCCACTGCGCCCGGCTTCAAAAGGGAAATCTTGACCCAAAAACATTCTGGTAGGTTCTCTGGAAAAATAAAAGAAAAAGAGGCACAGATATTTTTTACAATACAGTGTCAGGGGATTAGTCTGTGCCCTCTTCACATTGGAAATATTTACTAACAGAAAATCTTTTCAATATTGTTAAGCAATGCTTTTTAAAAAAATGATTAATTGAGGAACATGGGGTACACTTGAGGCCCTGCTTGGGACACATGTGAAAAATGCCAGGGACAATCAGTCCCCTGTGGGGTGTGAAAATAACTAAGTGGCAAGCAATTAGACTGAGGAGGCTCTAGTCCCCAGATTCCTACTTCTAAAACAAAAATCTAAACTCACGTGCATTTTTTGGTAAATTACTACATTAGGGGAAAAAACTTCAGGCTTAAACAACTATAAACTGCCAACTAAGCTCTGATTACATAACCAGGAAATTTCCACCTTGATTGTACAAATTAAGGAACTATGTAACTATACCTAACCAATTATTGAATTTGTTTTCTTCATCATGCATTTTGTTTTATTTTATTTTTTGTCTGAGATGGAGTCTCTGTTGCCCAGGCTGGAGTGCAGTGGCGCCATCTCGGCTCACTGCAACCTCCGCCTCCCAGGTTCAAGCCATTCTCCTGCTTCAGCCTTGCCAGTAGCTGGGATTACAGGCGCGTTGTCACCATGACCGGCTGATTTTTGTATATTTAGTAGAGACAGGGTTTCACTATGTTGGTCAGGCTGGTCTTGAACTCCTGACCTCGTGATCCTCCCGCCTCAGCCTCCCAAAGTGCTGGGAAGGCCAGCCACTGCACCCGGCCATCAGGCATTTTATAAATGTCTTTTCTTCAAGCCCCTCCATGGACCACAAACTACAAACTATAGCTGGGTGCTCTACAATTCTTGAATCACTCTTTGACTAAATTATTTCATATTTTTGCAGTGACTCTCACACTTTTTTGTTTTCAGACATAATTGCTCTGTCGCCCAGGCTGGAGTGCAGTGGCGCGATGTGAGCTCACTGCAACCTCCGCCTCCCGGGTTCAAGCGATTCTATCACCTCTGCCTTTCGACTAGCTGGGACGACAGACATTCGCCATCACACCCAGCTAATTTTTGTACTTTTAGTAGAGACGGGGTTTCCCCATTTTGGCCACGCTGGTCTTCAACTCCTGACCTCACGTGATCCACCCGCCTCGACCTCCTGAAGTGCTGTGATTACAGGCGTGAGCTACCGCGCCCGGCCCCATCAATTTTTAATAGGAGAAAAGAGAAACTGTGAACCCTGACAGATATAATAGACTCCTCTTCAAAGGCCTTTCTTGTTCCTTGTTTTTAGGACCAACTTTTTTGTACCTCCTTGTACCTAGACACCCGCTCTGTAAGCAACCCAAACCGCCAGTTCCAATCTGCGACCCGCACCCCTTCCTTATTTGGAAAGTAGCCAATCGGGTAGGCCTAGATTGTGAGGTCAGACCCCGGCCACCGGGGGAAAGACACAAAGACAATAACGGCGTTAGGGTTAAAAACCCCTTTCTAACTAGGGGGCCGAGGCGGGCGGATCAACTGAGTTCGGGAGTTCAAAATCAGCCTGACCAACATGGTGAAACCCCATCTCTACTAAAAATACAAAATCAGCCGGGCGTGGTGACGCATGCCTGTAACCCCAGCAACTCGGGAGGCTGAAGCAGGAGATTCACTTGAACCCGGGAGACAGAGGTTGCAGTGAGCCGAGATCGCGCCATTGCACTTCAGCCTGGGCAACGAGAGCAAATCTCCGTCTCAAAAAAAAAACAAAAAAACAAAAAAACCTTCCTTTCTTCGGTGTGCTCTTGCGATCAAGATAGACGCGAGCAGCACCCTTCTTCAGAAGTAAATATGCCTTCTTGTGAAATTTTCTAAGTTCTGGGTGGTTTTTTGTTTTGTTTTGTTTTGCGGCACCGAGCGCTTGTTTCTAACAACCCCACGGACCAAAACTCTTCCCATTCATGAATCCGCACCCCGAGTAAGGATTCTCCCCTGACGACCCTCCCGTGGGGCTTGCACGATCTGGGAGAGACGCGGTGCTGCGGGTGCAGAGCTGCTGAAAGAGGGCTTCAGGCCAGGGCACAGTCACTGTGCCGGGAAGAGACAGGGAAGAGACAGGGCCCCGGCTGTTACCGCAGCCGCCATCTTATGGCTGAAGGAGACTGAGGCCGAGCTGGGCAGGGAGAACTCGGGCGGCAGATTGTGGAGCTGACTGTGAGGAGGCAGAGTCCCGCCAGAGCCACTTCCCACCGGTTTCAACCAGCCCCTCCCCTCTCTCCGGAGGTTGGACCCGGCACTCACCATTTCTAGGCTTCCAGGGGGTCCCGGGGTTTAGCTGTGGCTCTCTCAATACTTGCAGGTTACACGGCCACAGAGGCTGGGTCTCTATAAGTACAGGACACACATCACAAGATAAACCTGGAGCTCCCGCTGCAGCGAGAAACAAAGGCCCCCATAAACCATTCTGTTCGTTCCAGCTGCGTTCCTGATTGGACGGTTTCCAGCCCAGCGTCCCTGATTGGATAATACTTAAGGCCCCGCCCCCTCAGTCGCTGAGTGACAGAAGATGTGATCACATACTGGGCTGAGTGAAGAAAGAGTGGCAGCCTAGGCTGCAGCCTTTTCTTTCTTTCGTTCTTTCTTTTCCCCTCTGAGACGGAGTTTAGCTCTTATTGCCCAGGCT